TCAATTTCATTTATGAAGAGATTGAACAGGATACTTAAAGTGTCTACGTTAAATCATCTCTTTTTTTTCTTTTTGTAATGAAATAGGAGAGGTCAGCACACTTCAAAATCAGGAAAGGTTTTTATAATAAGTACAGCAGTCTGAAGCATCTTTTTCATTGGCTACCATAAATGACCATTAATTAGCTAACATAAAGACCACTTATGCCATGTTACCCAAAAAGTGCCATTAGGATGATAAACGATTAGTGTGGTGTAGCAAGAGCCATCTCCTTTTGACCTAAATGGGATCTGTGCACATTCAGCACATATTCTAGCGTGGCATCCCTAAAGTTAACTGTATGCCTTCTTCATCTATTAGAACTTATGTATGTCAGTAAACCCGCAACTATGACAAATATCTTGAGGACATAAGAAGACACAGATCTTACAAAATCAACACTATGGGAATTGCAAGAAACTGTGGCATATGGCCTTTCTCATAGGTTGACCAAGCTTGAGCTTAGAAGTACCCAGGGTTTTATTTTGTTATGACTGTTCGTTTTGGATAAATGTTCCAGAGCTCACTTGTTGCAGTCATTAATGATCTTTTAGTTTCAGTCTAAATTTATTCATAGCTAGTTAACTGTTCTTTGGCCTGCATTATCCTTTATATAACACTCCTCCTGCATGGTTCTGCCTCATAGTATATTTGGAGTGAATGCTTGTGTTTTCTCAAACTTTATTTTGTTAAATTAAACAAGCTAAATTCTTCCGGTTTGTGATGCAGATTTTCAGTTTCCTTGCTCATCATAGCTCTTCTCTGCATCTGTTCCAGTTCCAGTTCATTTTTCTTGAACACTGCTGACGAAAATTTTATTATCTTAATTTCTTTTACTTAAAATCTCTTGAAAGCTCCTTAAAAAGAAAAAGACTCTACAGGAAGCTAGTAGTCACTAAAAAAAAGCTATGATGTGAGGGTTCATACTAGATGAACACAAAATGTTTGAGACGTGAGCATTTTTGACATGGCATTCTTATATAGCAAAATGTTTCTAATATTCTTTAATAAAACCGGTGATTACAAATGGATATATATTAAGCTGGGTAAGACCGACAAGCAACAGCATACTGTATGGCTCTCTTTCTTTCTGGTGACTTGTGTTTTTAATGGCAGTTTAATGAATGTTCGTCTGCAGTACATCTTTAATTCTAGCTTTCAGCACATAAGGCTTCATCTTGGAGAGCATTGCTTTCTTTTCCAGTGAAGCCTAAAGCAATACATGGGAGAGAAAGTCATTCACCTTTCAGAATTAAACTGTTCTTTTTCTGCTTGACGTTTTCATTTAAAAATTGCAATGTAGGAGCCACATAATTTTAAATCCTCTCATCCGATTAGCTTCCACCTCATTCTTAGAAATAATCTTAGCTTGTGCTAAAGTCTGTAACTTGTATTTGAGAGGAGTGTGCATTGAAAAGGTACTGCAGTTCCGTACTGACTAAAGATGCTTTCATGTGGTCTGTGTTTTTACTGGAAGAAATCAGTTATTCTGTGTATTCTTTTTAAAAATTATATATTAGGAAAATTCACTTCCTAGGGAAACTGGATTGTGTGTCTCATAATGAAGACAATGTGAGAGGAGGGAAGCCGTGTGTGCTGTGCAGTTTTAGTGTTACCATAGCTTGCATATTACTATTCTGGTATGTGTACCAAACATCTATAGAATTTACGGAGATTTAGTTCCATGTTTAATGTAAACAGATTGACCGAGTTTTCCTCCTAAATTTGAATACTTAACTATAAATAGCCTGACTTTTAAATATGTCAAACTCTGCAGCTCCTGTTGACCTAAATGGGATCTGTGCACGTTCAGCACTCTGGAAGATCATGCTGCTTATTAGAGACCTAACTTTAAATGCCTGCATGTATAAATATAAGTAGATAATAAGGCATTTAAATTACTGAGTGGTGATATTTTGACCATCTGTATGTGCAGTTTTTTTGGTTTAATATCTGTAAGATAACAGTGCTTTTGCATTTTGGAAAAAGTAATAGTTGCAATACATTGGGCCATGAGAGGGTTGCAGTTCAAGATAATTTTATGTTCCAACAAGTGTTGAAATAGGATGATAGACAGTTGTTCTTCAACAAATTCAGCCTCGTTGTTGGTGTATTTTGACTTTGTGAAACAGTTTAAATAGTTTGAACTAATAATAAACAACTTGAAATTTAATTTTAAATTATTCCCATTTATCATATTAAAATAACACTTATCATCCTTGTGTTTCTATAAGCTATTGCAGATCACAAGCTTCTGGTAAAGTAGTAAGTGGAGAAGAACATTTTTCAAGCAAAAAGTGCCTGGCTTGGTTTTATGAATATGCAGGTAATATGCAGTGAATTCATATTTAAAACTATATGGTTTTGTTTCAAACAAACAAATACACCAAATGTTATTTACACTTTGCTTTTTTATGCTGATGTAGACATATAAAAATACATCCATATTCACTTCTTTATAACATGCATTTGAACTATTATAGCTTTTACTATCACCTTTTCAGTATTTGTTCTTCTTGACCTTTTTCTTCTTTACTCTCTGCTTTATAACTTATGTAATTCTAAAGAATGCCATGGTAAGTGATGTTGAACAGTACAGTGTTGAACCAGAATACACTGAATGATTCTACTTCTTGATTTGAAATGGACAAGTAGAAGTCGGGACATGAAGAAATAGTTTAGATTGAGGTTTGTTTATCTAACTAGATCTTGTTTATAATCAAATTGGAAGGATAATTAAATAAAATAAATTCATTATTTCATTCATTATTTAAGTCTCTTTTTTTTTCAATTTTACAAAATAAAATAATGGATGCTTGTGCTTTTTTTCCTATCTGTTCTAACATTTTTGATATTTTAAATAACAAATGTCTCATTCAGAAGTGTTAGAAGTAGCCTCTTGCAAATAAATCAGAGTTACTATATACACTGTATACATATATATACACACACTGTATACAGTATATTTTGCAGAATTAGACTATTACTGCTGTTTATTTACCAATTATATGGTTAGAACTTCAGGATTTGTAAAATGTTATTGACTTAATTTCTTGTCTAGTCACCACTTTTAAGTCCCTCATAACTAGTTGATGATTAAAACTAATTAATGTCCAGTTCTCATTATGAAATGAGCTGACGATTTATCGGCCAGTAGTTGTTTGAGTATATTTATCTGAACTGATTATTTTTCTTGCAGTCTTTCCACAGTAGTGAACTACTCCTGATTCTAGTAATCTGCTTTCTAATTTAGGTTTGAGGCATACTCTTTTGGAATAGAGTCTTTTCTGAGGAAAATAGTATTTCTCAGTTAATTTTCTTCTGATAAATGCACCTGCACATACTTCTACCTTTTTTAACTTTGTTGAGTGAAGAACTGAGCATTGGAGGTTTTACTTTGTTAGTTAACCAATAATCAAAACATGCCACAGTTCTCGCATAAAATGGAATTCCAGTGAAATTATACACCATAGGAAATTAAATGTTTCCATTAAAAGAGAAAATTATATGCGCACACAAACAATGTGCACACATGTATGTGAGTTATACATATGATTTCTGGGTCAAAAACCCAGTTCAAGTTCGTACTTCTCCTTACCAGTGAACCCTTTTATGTGTTTCTCTTCGTAACTTCAACTTGCAGGGTTTTTTTAACACATTCTATGTAAGGGCTTCTGAAAACCAGATGGTAGTGTTTTGCTTTGCTTAGCTAGACAAAATGTTCTTTGCAATATTTTTCAAGAGGTAGGGGTTCATGATCTTAAATACTAGTTGCACTTTATTTTCCTGTAAAAGTAGCCATTCTCAATAGTTTTTTATTGACAATGTTCTGATCTCACAGTGAGTAATTATTAAAGTTACGTTATCCAAACTCTTAAAGAATTTTGCTTACAATGACAGCAGCGGATACAGATGGAGACAGGTGCCTTCAAGGAGGGGGGAAACAAAACCAGACTGTTTATGTATAAATAGCAAAATTTGCCAAAAAATCAGAAAATGACATGTTTTAGAAGATATATCATTTACCGTTTACATGGGTTCATATTCACTAAAACATTGTTAACATAATGACCCAATACACATTAAAAGAGTGTGTTGACAGGCCTTCTAATGATCATAGAACTATTTGGTTAGAGAAGACCTTTAAGATCATTGAGTCCAACTCTATCCTGTCTACTACTAAACCATGTCTCTAAGCTTCACATCTACCATCTTTTAAATACTTCCAGGGATGGTGACTCCACCACTTTCCTGGGCATCCCCTTCCAGTGCCTGTTAACCCTTTCAGTGAAGAACTGAGTGGTTGCCCAGAAGGAGAAATTTTTGAAACAGGCTTAGCAGTCTGTTATTTTCATTTCAGTCATAAAGCCTTTTTTATACTTTGTACATGACTAACATGCTTAGCATTTTTCTGATTTATTGTCATCACTCTCCTCATTACTTAGCATCATAAAACTAACCTTATTTTAAGATTTATCCTCTTCTGTGGTAAACCCGTAATGTTAACACCATTGAAAGAGTAATATCTGTAATAGTAGCTGAGACAGAATTACTTCTTTTTTATTGTTAATGAAATAACTCTTTTAAGAAAGTTATTCATAGAGTAACTTCATTACAGAGTAGCAGTACCAGAGTTGTCTTAAAAACAATTGACCACCACAGCTATTGGAGTTGAGCTGTGTCAATGTGAAGCTCAGTGGAGTCTTACAAAAACTCACATACACAAACTAAAATAGCTTCTGTTCTATTGTGGGGAGGCAGCGCACAACATGAAAGTTCTGGTTTAGTTTTGCTTTTAGTTCATAGTGTTACTTCATATGTTATATACATGCCTCCACATTGCAGTTGATATAGTGGTTCTAACAGAAAATGGTTCTTCATGGTTCTACTTAATAATGTAATTCAGTGTTTTTAAAGATAACTTGTATGAAATATAGTCTAATTCTTGTTGTTTGTAACCCTTGTGAGCAGTGAGTGTTACTTGGATTTCAGTATAGTTTCTTTTTGGTTTTGAAGGTCCCGATGAAGTTGTGGGGCCCGAAGGAATGGAAAAGTTCTGTGAAGACATTGGTGTTGAGCCTGAAAATGTAGGGTTTTTTGCATAATACTATTAACACTTTAAAGGGGGGTTTTGGATAAGATGAAGTTCTGTGTAAAATTTTTAACTTCAGTAAGCAGAGTTGTTTGTTTTCCTGCTTTTAGGAGCTGTTAATAATTCAGCTGAATAATTCAATTATGCATGGTTGTGTGAGGCTTTTTGTTTTATTATAGTAATACTTCATTTTCAGAAATTAAGGGAAAGATTGCACATCGATGAATTATTAAATGGTAACAAATATAAAGAACTAACACGTACAACAATTGCTGGAGTGTTTGAATGCTTAGAGTTTTCTTCTTGGATATCTAAAAATCAGTCTTTTCTTACATCCTAACTCCTTTTTCTCCCTTTGTGTTTTTTCCCCTAGATTATTATGTTAGTTTTAGCCTGGAAACTAGAGGCTGAAAGCATGGGATTTTTTACCAAGGAAGAATGGTTAAAAGGAATGACCTCACTACAGTAGGAGTGTTTTTACATCTATAATAAAATGTTGTAATTATGTTTGTACCAGTAGCTTAATTATTCTTGCCCTCAGTTTCTTGTGTATTGGCAATAAGACACACAGTCTTACTTTTAGGTCTGGTTTTGGTCACCAACTGGAGGCAGTTACTGTTCGGCAAGTTGTGAATCTGATGGGTTCACTCAAATGATAAAGATTTCTCTCACCATAATAAGTCAGGTTTTGGTGGCTTCTTTTTCCTACAAAAAGAATGTTACAATATCATTCTAGTTAGCAGACACAAATAAGTAGTTCTGGAGATAACCATAAGCATATCCCAGCACTGATATTCTATAAATTTTTTACTGGTTTCTAGGATTTATAGATGAGGACTGCGTTGATAATAATTTTGGCTATTAGTGTCATTTATTAGATGCAGGTCAGAAGTGATGCTTAATGCTTAGGTTAAATACTACTTTTTTCAGTCTTTAAATAAAATTCTCATTCCATCTGTTTGTAGGAATTTTTTGTGAGAGTGGTCTGCCTAAAGAGGTTGTTTCTTTCATGAAACTAATCAGCTTTTTGTGAGGCTTAGTTCAGTTGTCACTTTTTGCTGGTTCTTCATGAAACTACTTATGGTGCATCAGTGTTTTAAGAGTGCCTTGTCATGACACTGCATTCAGTATTAAAAATATCAGGGAGCTACTGTTCCAACTACAGTATGGTGGGAAAGGGGCTGATTTGAGCCTTGGAGTTGGCACAATTTGCCCTATCAGTTGTGAATTAGTTTGGGAAATTGTATTGGGCAGATACCCCCTGGTTATTTGAGACTATGGAGTAAGTGACTCTGGCCTGACTCTCTTGTGCAAATCTTACTTGATCTGGGATCAAGCTTCCAATAGATGCCTTGATTATTTTGTGACCATCAGAAGCTCTTAAATATTGTAAGATCTGGAATGATTAAGTTGCTTGTAATTCAGGATGACAGAGATTAAATTCTGGGTGCATAGCCCCCAGAATCAATTTGGTGCATGAATTTTTAGATGCAATGAATGTGCATAATTTGGTCACTTTTCTGAATTACTTAATTTTTATGCTTAAATAGAAGTTTTCAAGAGTTAGCCAGTCTAGCAGAATGCAAGCACAAAGGTGTATTAAATCAAGTACCTCCTCAGATCCAATATGATAGACTTTGTTTCTAATAATTTGCTGTGATTTGGAATCTCCTGGTTCTTTTAAGAACAGAGCTGATCATGATGTAGGCTAAATGTGTTTAAGAGAGAAAATAATGCTGTGCATTTTTATATAAACAGACTTGTGATCGGAGCACTTTCCTAAATGTAAACAGTTAACCTATATGTTTTGCTTACCTAGGTGTCTTCTAGTAGTAGGCTATAGACTAAGCATCTGGATGAAGCAGTGACACTCACATAAAGAAATTCAAGACTTGCTCACTTTAAAAAAGAGCATATGAATCTGTAGACTTGTCTTATTTGTACTTACTGGGAAGGGAGGATCATATTATGGGATCCCATCTGGAATGGGGGAATCTAGTTTCTCTTGAAAGATTTGACAGCAGTTTTGAAGGAGAAGGATTTTACACTCCTAAAGCAGTAGAGTATTACTACATTCCTGCACAGCATTTTTTTAATATATTTTGCATGGAAAAATGACATTAAAATGCACTAAAATCCTAAAGTGTGTTTTGATTTATATTACAGAATCTTTATTTCATATGCTGCAATGTCGCATAAAATAATTGTGTGGATGGAGTTGGGTGGAATTCAGCTCCATAGTAAGACATGTAAATGTGTAGTTTATATGCAAGACCTGTATTTCTTAAACTTAGTGCAGTGTCTGGAGATCTAGTCAATGTAGTGGAGCCTAGGGAGGTACTCAGTTTGTCCTATGGCCTAGTGACTGGTTATCTGAATTGTTCTTGCAGATTGGTTGATTAGACCTCTACAAATGGCAACACCTAAAGCTTAGACACCTAAATGTAATCTGCCATTAGATGCCAACATTTGGATGCCTGAATCTTGAAGTGACATTCTTTTATGGTTTGTGGTTTTGTGGTATGCTGATGAAGTTTGTTCTTCAGAGAGGAGGAGATATATAGATATGTGATAAGGTATACACTGTCAAAATTAAGGTGGCTTAAGCACCAAGTAGCAGCTTATCAGACTTAAACAACTTAAGCTGTGAAAGTGAGGGTTCCAGTATATTGTTGTGTGTATTCTGCCCTAGATATACATATGTGTGTGTATATATATATATATATATATATATGTGTGTGTGTATAAAAGCTGGGTGCCTGAATCTAAATTAATGACCTGCAATTTATTTCAGCTATTTTAGACACCTCCTTAGGATGAAACAGTCCTCAGGAAGTGACTGTTTATCTGCATGTGCTTTAAAGCCATGGGAGGATGAATAACTTAAGAGTTGAGCATTTAACTTTGCGTATCTGAGTTAAAGGAGAAGCATACTCGAGTATTTGTCAATTGTAAGTTTTACAGACCTACAAAGAAAAAAATAAAATCTAGATAGAAAATGAAGGTGAAGGAAAAAGGATTACAATCCATGATTATATTGAACTCCACAGAAGTCATTGTTGAACTAGGTAAATACAAAGAACTTTCTGTGTAAGGAAGTGAGGCGTAAGCAGCTGTATTGCCAGAGTACTTCCCTCTGGCTATTTGTTTAATCATCTTAGAATTTGAGCTGAATTTATCCCAACATTAAACTTGAGATTTTTGAAAATGAGTGGCTAGGTAAAAGAGAGACAGCCAAATTAGATTCTAGCTGAGGGAAAGATGAGGTCATTATGTCACATTTTTAAGTACAAGATAAGCCACATAAAAGAGAGTAAGAGAGAGAGAGAGGTAGGAAAGTCAGGTTTGTAACTTCTTGCTGTTTGCAGAATTATTAGTAAAAACAACTTAATTGGATTGGTTTTAATGGTAGTTTAAGATTATCACGATCACCTGCCTTTCTGTTAATGTTTGTGAGGCTAACACAAAGCATAGTGTAAATATTTTATTTTTTTTTTAATGCCAGTGGAGCATTCAATGTATACTGGAATCTAAACAATTTCTGGTATCCAGACCTGTGACTCAACTGATACCAAAAACCATAGCATTGTTAGGGAATGGAAAAGATGTCCCTTTGCTCTCTTATTTTCTTGGACCCCTGTATGCTCCAGTTGTAATGTGGAACCTAAATTTCAGAAGATCCTGTTTCAATGCTTGAAGAGAGTGGATGGGCTAGATGGATGTCATTTCCTTTTGTCCATCTGGAGGGCTGGATAATGGCAGAGGAACTATTTTGGAGATTAAATGACCTTCAGACTGCTTTATATACTACTATTAAATACTTTTAGCTTGATGTTTGTATACGTCTTACTGTTTTTTCTTTTTAGTAAGACAAACATATGAATAAGTATAAAATATGAAACATTGGAATATCTGAGTAGGAGATACTGAATCATCACTCTGTCCATGTTAGCTATGCCTAAAATGAACTCTCTACCTCAATAGAAATCAAAATAGGACTGCTTTGTGGTGCTTATTTAAGTTGTGTTATAAATATGATGTAGGGATGTGAAGAAAATGAAGTAAGCAAATGTCTAGTTTTGTTGATCATGAGGTAACCTTATTTAATGCTGTCTTTCAGTAAAGGCAGCTCAATAAATCACATATTTTTCTAGTGTCTGTACCGGAGTTTGGTGTTTATTCACTTGTGTGAATTAGAAAGTTGTTCTGACTTAAAAAATAGTTAGGAGGATTATTGTAAGTATGGGTGACCTCAGTTATCTTACGTATGTTGCAACCACACAACCAGCTATAAAAGAGGAGTTGAGAGCTCCTTACTGCACTAACCTGAAGAAAATCAGTGGCCAGCTGTGGAAATGCCTTAAATGGCTTTACCAGAGATGGGTTCCTGCACCAGGCCTCAGAGAGTGGTCCCTGTCTGAGTGTGATCTGTTTGACTGCTTGGTTTGAAATAAGTTGACAATAGCTTAGGAGTCTTGAGGCTTAATAATTACGCATTTTCATACCAGCTTTTTCAAGATAATTGCTTCTGCATTAAAATACAAATACTTAATAGTGCAGTAGACAATAATGGAAATTTTACTTTGTACTTAAATTTATGATTATTTGAACAACTTTGACAAAATATTTTGAAATGTAAACATACTGAAATTTGTGATTATCCACAGTATGGTATATAATCTGAGTCAAATTATATTTGACAAAATGTGTGATAAGCCCACTTTAAGTAGTTTCTGTATGTAGTTTCTGTATGTCATTACTACACTAACAGCATAAGTATTTAGTTAGGTGTTAAATGTGTAGATTTGGCCTCAAATGCAGAGGACAATGTTATTGCATATGAAGGTTTGAACACAGAAAAAAGACATATGAATGTAAAATGAGATGCCTTTATAGCATTCTATGCTAGCATAACATAATACTGTTTTAAGGGTTAAACAACAGACTACGAAGACTAATTAGTAGGCTGAAAGAAAAAAAGTAATTTTATCTTTAGTTAAATTTATCAAAGCTTTTTTTAACAACATTTCTTTCCAACTTAATGCATGGTTTATTGCAAAATATATTAGTTCTTGTCGTATGAATATGCAGCCTAATTAGATAATAGTTTTATTTATTTAGTACATAGCTGGGACTCAGTGCTGCTTTAGGTAGATACTGCTAGAGACAAGAAATAACAAAAGGCTACATCATCTGTGTTTCCCTTGACACAGCTGTTCTGAGGGGCAGACGGACAGACAGACTTGCACACACACAGACTTGCACAGAGCAGACCTGAGGAGCAGGAAGTATCGGCTGTGGGCAAAGTACAGCATCAAAGTGCAGCATCTCAGCAACCTGCTGCAGTATTCCCAAAAGGCTCTTGCTGAGGGCTGCTGTGGCAGGTCCATAAGGAGCTGTTAAAGATGCAGATGTATTCCCCTTCTGGCAGCCTGCCTCAGAGAATACATAACCAAAGGAAGTATTTATGTACATCTGCATTTCTGAATGTATTTCTTCTGTCAGGCAGGATACAGGACAAGGTGGATTTTTTTATCTTTTATTTTTCACTTACAACAACTGTTGTTATATTAGATCACATTTTATTCTAATAAAATAACTGTTCTTTTGATTGAGTCTTTCCTGGAGGACTAGCGTATGTAAATTACATTATCCTCTGCCATTCTTGGTGAATGCAACCCATTTTCTACTTGGACAAAAGTACTTGCTAAGTAAAATACATGGAGATGTTTTCTTCCAAAAGGTTATTTTTGGCAATGGGTTATCCTGTCAACTAGCAGACCTGTACATTATAGTACAGACTGAGTTTTCAGTTGTATAGTTTCTGATTAATACAGGTGATAGGCTTATTAGAATTTGCCTTTATGATTCATAAAACATACTGGTCTGCTTGTATTTTGTAGAGTGCCTGCTCAGTCCTGTCAAACGTAAACATGTAGTTTGGAACTGTATGTTTGGAGTTTGTTTTTTTCCCAGAGAGATATGGCATAAAACCCTTATTTACAGCTGGATTTTAGTACCTTAATGCACACTGAATATTGTTATCTCCAAACTTTTATAGTGATGGAAACATAAGATAGTGCTGGGTATGACTATAAATTGCAGAGTTGGTCATAAAGAGACTGCTATTTGAGAAGTAAAGCAGAAACTTTGTTATGTTGCTGATACTTTGTAAAAAAACCTTGCTTACAGAAGCCAGACATTCATCATTTCAGTAAGTTGCAAGTGTTTAGCATGTTCAGTGTTCTTTAAGTCACTTTCATAGTATTACTCCTGTACATCTGATGATTGCAGCTTGGTGATTTTAATATTTTGCATTTGCTGGCATTCTTTTCATTGTCCAGATGTGTTGCTTTGAACTTCTAATACAATTTGGTTTTCTTTATTTTAAGGTGTGACTCTACAGAAAAATTACAGAGTAAATTTGACTTCTTGCGGTCACAGTTGAATGACATTTCATCCTTTAAGAATATCTACAGATACGCCTTTGATTTTGCAAGGGTAAGACTACTGCAGCATTAGAGAAGTTCTTACTTTGATTCTTGAATGAGCTTGTACCTAAGTGGTTTTTCTGCTTTCTTTATTCAACCTAAGGATAAGGACCAGCGAAGTCTTGATATTGATACTGCAAAATCCATGTTAGCCCTTCTGCTTGGAAGAACTTGGCCACTGTTTTCAGTATTTTATCAATACTTGGAGGTACAAGTTTCCTTGACTTTCTGAATCTGAGTGATGGCATAGTAGTTGGGCTGTCTGTGAAAATATTTCAGGGTTTGTGTTGTTTTCCTTAAATATGTGCCCATATTGCTCCTCTTGCCTTGCTCGATGTGCTTATGGAACAGCGATGTTCCGTATGCATCACAAATACTTTTCTCCCTCCCTGTGCCCCACCCCCCCTTCTCTTACCAAAGGCAACTAAAATTCTCTCTTAGTTGGACTGGAAAGGTAAATTTTAAGTTAAATAATACAGCCCCAGTAATCTCTTCAGCTACATCTGTGCTGGATTTCAAGTTGGCTTTGTGTAGATACAGTGTGTAAGTACCTTGAGCTCTGTCTGTCTCTGGAAGATTTTGGTCAGCTCAGCTCCAAGTGCCTTAGTAATGTGGACATGTGTAGGTTGTGGAGTATGCTAGGCTTGAGACTATTCCCTGGCTCCTAATCAGTACTATGTTGCAAAGTAGATGTCCTTATGATCACACTGTATTGTACTGTGAAGAAAAGATTTTTGTAATGGTTCATTCTGGAGATATATCTTAGCTAAGTGTGCCCCACTTCAGGACAAGACAAGTATTTATCAGTTTCTGAAGCTTAAGAATGGTGACTTTCTAATTTGCTGACATTTTGATTTTGCTCTGATCTTTCAAGAAATCATTTTACGCAGTTTTAAAACTATGAAATATGTACATGTATAGTCTTTTAAAAAATGGAAAAATCAAGGAAATAGTAGCCACTGTTACTCATTAAATTGTTTGTTAGGAACTGATTAAAGACAAAATGAAAGAAGTAGAAATAAGACACAGCATTACAAAATATCACTTGACATTTTAATGTTCTGAAATTATTTTCCCCAGCAATCGAAGTATAGAGTTATGAACAAGGATCAGTGGTACAATGTGCTAGAGTTCAGCAGAACTGTCCATGCAGATCTTAGCAACTATGATGAAGATGGTGCATGTAAGTATTCATAATATTTTGCTTATTCAACTATTATTTCAGTATTTTCAATTTGCATAAACCAGATTTCCATAACAGAAACAGTGCTGTAAGTTAAAAATATTTCTTCTCCAACAATGCATAGAAAACTTGTCCTGATAACCATCCATCTTCAAACTGCAGATATTAATTGTAGTAATATGTCAGGGGTATGATGGTGTAATTAAGCCAGCTTGTGTTAGGTTGGAAACCTAGTGAAGCTGCTTGCTACATGGAAGTATAGACTTGCAAATACAATTATAAACAGCAAATTTTAATTTTGAACTAATATATAATAAACACTAGTTTAAGTTAAAGTTGCCTAGCTGCTGGCACTTGGGGCTGAACTCTGCACCTTGCTGATAGTCAATCATGCTATGTCTGAATAGCGTTAGGCCTGTGTTCCAATTATGTGATATTTTGAAACCTCTAGGAAGAAGGAATTAGTTGTGCTGATTTACAATGTAGCTTTATTTTTATGCTTTCCATTCAGTTCAGTGCACCTGTCAGATGTCAGGTATACTTTTTGACTAGTTCTGTCTAGTGTTATTTGTGCTCTTTTTGCCACCCATGGATTGGAATTATTGTAGTCATCTTTGAGTCTTAAATTATTTGACCATAGGATTGACATAGAGGTTACCTAGACCAATAACTTTTACCTTCATACTTTAAGAAAAGATGTTTAAAAAACATTGGCAAATGTAACTCCAAGTTTCATCCATTTGCAGGGCCTGTACTTCTGGATGAATTTGTTGAATGGCAAAAGGTTCGTCAAGCGTCATAGCAAGAACTGAAAAGAAAATGCAAAAGTTCTTTTGGTGCCCGCCTGCACACAAACTAATAAGAAAAACAAAGGACTGCATTTTCATTCTTAAGAAAGACTTTACAGTAACTTTTTTCCTTTTCTAAGGAAATTTTCTTGTTACATGTGATATGGGCATTGAACCACACCTCTTCTGAGACTGAAAGTTGGAGTTCTTGTTTTGAGTCTTATGTTTATAGCATTTATTTCAGAACAATAAAGATTCAGATTTGTGACAAAGGCCTAAAAGTGAAGAATGTCCCTTGAATGTGAGTGTGGTGTCTATTTTAAAAACCAAATCTTTAAGATTATCTTTCTCAGAAGTGCCCTTTGCTATGAATTTTCGAAGACCTTAAAAATGCTTAACTGGCACTGTTGCTTGCTGATGGTATGACTGTCTTGTGTGACAAATATTAGAAAGAATGACTGATTTTTATTTTTTTTGGAGCCCTGGGTGGGAGTGTGCTAATTTATATATTAAGTACTGGTCATGGGTTGTGCCACAGTTTTTAGCTCCTTGTGGAGATAAAGGCCTTAAACTCTTTATTTTTTCTTTTCTTTTTTGTTCTGCACCCACCCAGTGGCAAGGCATTTAATGGCAGGCCCTTTTAAAGCAGAAGGGTGTAGAACATACGGCTCTGTATGTAGAATGGCTGAAAACTAGTTGCCTGTACTTCAGATGGTGGACACAGGTACTCTTTGGTACAGTAAGGCAGCTTCAGATTTGTACTACCTTTTAGACTTTGGATTGCTTTGTATAAAAAGTGCAATTTGTATTTTAAAAGGGAAAGCTAGAAAGACTTGGTTTCAAGCTTTGCTTCTTATGTGTTTTAGACTGGAAGCATTCACAACATGACTTTTTTTTTCTCTTTCATAATGTAAGTCAAGAAGAGACTATTAAATCACCTGCCTCTGACCTGTATATAACAGGCTCTTAATTTTTACCCTGTTACTTCATGTATTGAATCACCAGTAACTACTGTGATTGCCCTTTTAGGCGCTCAGTACTTGTGGCAACTTTTAACTACAGTAGAAGTTTGTCACTCTACCTTTCTGCCCACCCTAGAGAAGGAAAGGGATTTTAACGAGCAAATGTGAGAAACCAAAACAGTATGAGAGAATGAAGCATTTGTAATTTCTACTTTATTGTATAAATATATTATGTAGACCATGATAATGCCATGAGACTCAGTCCGTGATCAAGGAAGGCCTCATTGTGCCAAATATTTCAACAGCTTGAAATAAGAATAGACAACGTAAGCTAGGCATGACTTGAAGATCTTTGCCTCAGGGAAATGACTTCTGTTTTGCACATCGCTTATTCAGACTAACAAGCATAACTTCCTATCCTTAAGGAAAGCTTTGTTCCCAAGATGAATATTTTTTTTCTACAAGGAGGGGAAAAAAAGAAGAAAATACGTGAGGAGAAACAGTAAGTGGGACAAATTAGTTGTGTGTGCCTGTGCTCTTGCTCTACTGGAGAGAGCCACTCTTGCAATTTACTCTCCAGATCTGCTTGCTGTGGGCTGCAAGAGGCAACGCAGTGGTGGTCCATGGGCTGTTCTGGAAGTCACCTGGTAGTGTAGTTGAACCTTAAAAGCTTGATTCTGCCCAAAAAGCACTGGGAAGGGCATGGAGGGGGATGGACAAAAAAACCAACAAACCAATAGTTGAGATACTTGAAAGATCTCTGCTTGTACAGTGGGTAGTGTCTGTATGCATGCAAACACATGCACTGCAGCTGCTCTAAATATTTTCCATGGTTTTTTAAGAGAGCTACTTCATTTTAGACTTCACCTAGGGCTACAGCAGTTCAATATGTTACAAGTTGTCCATTTGCATTGCTGATAATTCTGATTTCACTCACAACAGAGTGCCTTTCATTTGGAAATTGCCCTACCCCACAGAAAGTTAGTGCCAGAATGAGATTAACTTCAAGAGTCCCAAGATCTACTAATGATGTCCTAAGATGCATAGATGAACATGCACCAATTAATTTATGTCAAGGGAAGTAGTGCTGTGTACTACATCTCTGCAGGGGCACTGATTCTGAAATTACTTTCTCAAATCTCGGGGGATTGGACTAGATGATCTTTTGAGGTCCCTTCCAGTCCCTAACATTCTGTGATTCTGTGAAATTCTCTACAATGGCTCTCCTTGCTTAGTATGTGTAGACCCCATTATAACTGGGAAATTCTCTTTCCAGAAGAAATACCAGTTAGAGGATGAATATTTTATTGTGTGATTTAAAAAAACAAAAATCATCTTTTTAGGTAACTACAAACTGTTGTGAATTCAATTTAAACCAGTTGGTCCTAGAGGATGGTATTAGAGTCTAATAGTAGGAGTGATGCATCTACCAATCGAAGGTGGTCAAGTACTTACCGTTAAGGTGTAAGACACTATGTGATGTATCATTTGTATCTCTGTTAAGGTTTTATCAGTATTCCTATAATAAATCCATGTTTCAGGGATTTATAACTTGGTTGTGTGTGTGATTGAAAATCATCAGTTACTGTAAAACTTTGACTGGGAATGAATGTATTTAAACTACTTAAAATCAATATAGTTTTTCAGATTTGAATAAAATAGGATTTTAAGTTATGTTTTTGTGCTCAGAACTGCAATCAGGTTTGTTTAAATGTGAACTAATGGCTTGTACAGTTTCATTGTGAGCTGATCACTTTTATTAGCTGTCTCTTATTAATTCACCTTACAGTTCACTGTGGATAAGTGCCAAAAGCTGTTCATTTACTTTATTTTTTTTTAATTTTGTGCATGTCCACAAGCCAAAACTGAGTTCAGGTAAATGCTTTCATTAGTCCTTGAACTTAATTTTGCTTTGCTCAGGTGCATTTCAGTCTACTGCATTAAAGAAAAATGACACCTTATTTTTCAGTGTTCTAAGGTGGAATTTCACAGGTGAAATACACTGCCGCAGTTGTGACAAATAATAAAACTGAAGGTGAAATGTCTTCCAAAACTAAATCATAGCAGTGTCTATCTTGAAGTTACAAACTTCACTTTAATATAACTTTAATTTCTTGATATTAATTCTTCCTAACATAACTAAATTTTTTCTAGTTTTCTTAAATAACTAACAGTTTTGGTTTTTTAAATCTGAAAAGATCCACCTGTTCATGGAAAAAGCCATACTGGTAGATTGGAATGTAATATTTCTCCTATGTAAAAATGTGATCTTGAATTAAACATTCATGTATGTTTACCTATGTCTTTATATGTAGTTTTGATCCCATTTATCTTTGCTGTTTAGACATCTAATTCTTTACTAATGGCTGTAATTTCACATTTCGGTATAGCAGAATTTGAGTTTTGCATTTGTGATGGTGATGGGTAAGTGTTTGGTGCCCACCGCGGTGACCCAACAGGGGGTATTGCGGGCCACATTGCCACTGTTGGGGGTTTCTGTCTCTCTCAAAAGCTTTGAGCCGATGGATTGATACTGACTGCACCAAAACTGCAAAAGGGACCGTGGGTTTAATGTTTCTGATTTGTTCATCTTTTAAACTACTGAGCAGTTCTTTCAATGCGATATGTACAAACTTGTACAGGTTTAGTTTTAAGTATGATGAATAAAATGGTGTGTAATAGGGCAGAAAAATTGTGGTTTTTTGTCATACTGCCTCGTTTTATTTTTTCTTCTGTCTATGTATAACTGTTTTTAAAATCACTGAGAGACTTAATTCCAGCAAAATGAATCAGTCTAATTTCAAACTTAACCTTACTGAATAATTTCTTTACTCTTGTGTGCACTTAGAGAAAACAGAACCTGATCTCAACCCGGAGCAGCAGAAAACACCACTGTGATTATATCCCATGTTATTAGGTGCTGATAGAACATAATAGTCCTAGTTAACTTCATGAATTATTCATTGGATGAACACTGTTTCAACAACCTGTTGCAATGCACATGAATGAAAAGAGAATCAGCTTTTCCTCTCTTCCCGGCAGCCCTTCTGCCTCCTCCCAGCATGTCTCTTGGGTCACTTGTCTGTTTTTAAGAAGGGACTTGGTGTGTTCTAGTGTACTTCTATAGGGAGTTTTAGAGCCCATTGCAGAAAGGATGAAAGCCAGCATACTGTCACATGTGACCCTGTTTTCCTTACAGCTACAGCTCGTTCCACTTCTTGTCAAGGTCAGATGCCATATGAGACTCAGGACAGTCTTCTCTCCCAAAGATCATCAGCCTCAGTCCTGAGACAGTTTGTGTCCACGGTTCCACCTTATCTTCTCTTGATACCGAAGTTCCTGATTGCCTTCCTGAGTCAGTAGGATGTTTAGATGTATGCAGACTGGGCGTCTTGTATCTATGTCTACAAGTGCTGGCAACAGTTCTGTTACTTCTCTTTACCCTTGTCTTCTGTATTATCATTCTGTTTTTCTTTCTGTCTCTGGGGGAAAGAACACTGTAGTGTTAGGTAAGCATATTGAAGACTGAATGTGTACTGCAAGATTATGTTGGCTGTGTTATCTTAATTATAATTTTTAAACCACTACAGGCTTGTCAACAAAATAAAGTTAGTTTCTCAGATTTGTGGATCACTTAATCCATACTCTAAACTTTAAACTTGTTCCTATTTTTATCTGAGCTAATCAGAGTATGGCGTTCCCTATATATTGACATCTCTTTGGCTTTCTATCCCTGAATAGTAAGTGACCTTAACAGCAATGACAGAAGATGCAAGTTATTAAATTTGTCTGTTTTATAGGCATTACAGTGGACAGATTTTTATCTTAATGAGCTGAGTACTATTTCTTAATCCAAGCTGTTTCCAACCACGTTTCTATTGAATTACTACTCTATAACTTATTAAAATGTTATTGTTGTGTACTGTTGATCTAGAAAGCATAAAGATGCTTTGAACATGTAATTTTTTTTCAGCTTCTTAAATTAAGCTTCCCTAATTTTGACAATTTAAGAAAAAAAAATCACTCCGTTTCAGGGGTTTTGTTCTTGTATGTAATTTTTATCAGATCAGTAGTGAATTAGTGCTGATTATAAAATAATTTAAAGGTATTTTCAGCTGATTTAAATTCTAGCTAATATACAACTTAGTTTTTTACTTATTGTTTTCAGAATTAATTAATTTTTATTTTCACTGTTCATTTTATTCTAGTGAATTAAAGGGCTAGAACATAGTATTGCCAGATAGTTTAAGTTTTTTCTGATAATACCACTGAGGTGATTCTTTTTAATTTTTTTAAATATTAAAATATTTCGG